AACCTCTTATGTCATATCTCAACATCAATCATCATCATTATATCTATTTGGTAAGGACCTAGTTTGCACATACCCACACCAAGCATGCAACAAGTTGCAATTAAAGTTAGAAATGTGCAAAACTCTTTGAGTTTTAATCCTGTTTTTTACATGCAACTTCCTTTTCCGTCTACACGAATGAGATATCCATTAGGTATTATTATATGAGTTTCTAAAAAATTATTTGTTTTGTTTTTTATTAAATCTTGTTTGAAAGTTATATTTTTGGGGAACCTGACTCAATAACCCATGCATCATCTATTTCAACCTTACCAGCTACGTTGATTTTTGGTGCAAAAGCCTTCATTTGACCTACTTTGGTTCCCAAGTCGACGTAAAAGCCATTTTCTTCTTTCATCTGCTAAGCCAAAAATCTTGATATCATATCTCTTTGAAGAAACCATATTTATTATGCGCATTCTTCCGATAAAAGGTTAAATGTTTTTGTTGATCACTGTTTCCTCGCTTCGTATTCTTATGCACAAACCTTTTCTTTGGTTGGTGAACATCAGTGATGGTGTCTTTCGTTTGCGTGTAGAGGTTTGGAAAGTCATTGCTTCAACAAAAAATATCTTTGACATAGAGATAGCTCTTTGTTGTTCATCTTGGAACACTAAGTGGTTAACTGTTCTTAATGTAGGCGTCGGCTTCATGGAAAAAATTGAGTTTTAGTAAATGACTATTCATTGTCTAACCTTATGTGGAATTCATAAAGCCTCTCTTTCTCTTTAAATTCAATCAACCGATTTCCGATTTTATAAGAGCAATCAGGTGCAACGGGGAACATGCGAAACGAAATGTATATCGTCGCAGAGGCTACACTGTTTTGTCTAGCAAGCAGACACGGAGGCACCATCTTGTTGTATAGTTGTAAGTGATTGCTTTAATATATAGGCCGTTGTAGCACTTTCTTTTCCAAACCTTTCTTCAAGATCCGCCCATATTTCCTTTATAGTGTTGGGATACTTCACATTGGTTCTAATGTCTTTTTTCCATGGTTGTGGTCAACCATCCATTTATCATTCCATCGCTATGCATCCATAACATGTATTTCTTCAAATTTTCTTTAGGTTTCCCGATCATCAAAATGAAACCGATCTTGTTCTTGGCATAAAGAAAATTCTTCATTTCTTGTGTCCAATCATTGTAGTTGTATGTCGTCAGTTAAAGCATCGTTCTGACGAATGAATGTAGTAGGGAGAGCTAGCGGTCTCAGTTTGGATGGATTGGTTAGATCCAATCCAATAAAGTGAATCTAAATTGATTTCGGTTTTCAAATCATAAATCCAAATAATCAAAACTAAATTGAAATCCGATCCAATCCAACCAAATTACAATTCGGTTGGATCGGTTTTTATAATTCGGTTTTTAAATCCCGAAACATTTTAAAACGACATATAATTTGAATATAATCTAATTTTATAGAAAAAATAAAAATAAATTATTTAGTCGTGGTTTAACATTTATAAACAAATACTAGAAATATATTATAATTTAATATTTTATAGATAAAAAACAAAAAAGAATTTATGCAAATTAAGGTTTTTTATTAGATAAATTTTTATGAATCTATTTGGAAAACTAAATTACTAAACTAATATATATATATATATATATATATATATATATATATATATATATATATATATATATATATATATATATATATATATATATATATATATACATTGTTGTTCAGTTTTTTTGAACTAATCGGTTCTCATTTTATAAACCAAAACTAATCCAAAATCTAAAATAATAATTCAATCTTGTTGAAAAGTAATCCAAAAATCTAAATAACCAAAACCAATAATCAAATCCAAATTTTAAGATTAGATAATTCGGTCTTATCCGATCCGAACACTGAACAACCTTAGGGAGAGTTGGCATCCACTGGAACTCCCCCTCCATCCTTCTACTTTTCCGACTTGTTTGTGGCCATGTCTGGTAGGATTTACCGCAGGTTCAAGCTCTGCAGTGATACCATAAAGAATTTGATAGTTTAGAAAAGATTACTGATATCATTAGATCAAGGAAATTTAAATACAGGAGTAATTCGAATTGTAGATAAACAAGGAACTATAAGCAAATAGTTATCAAACTAGGAATCGTAATTATACATAAATAAGAATAGATAATGTCCGATTTCTTTATGTTTTGCAGGTCGGCATGTTTTCCTTCAGATGCGGAAAAAGACAGAAAAAGACTACAAATATTTTACCTCTTCATAAACGAACGACACCTAATTATCACCGTTTAGAACCTGAGAATCAATAACATAATCCGAATGGTGTAGATAATCGAATACATTTGAGCGCACCATCTGAAGAAGCATGAGATGTAACCTTGGATGAAAGAGTTGACTGAGCAAAGAGTATGAATTAACAACGAATCAGAGGCGGAAGGTAAAAATGCTTTTGTACCTAATTACAGAGTTAAATTGGAATGAACTTCTCAGATAGTCAGATTAACACCAAGATTCCGACTACAATATATAAGAAAAATGGAAGTAGCTGACGTAAGCTCATAACTAACTAAACTGATCAACAAAATTAAGCAGTTCAAAAAAGAGGAATGACATGATGAGATTGCCCTTGTACTCTAATAATAATCAACTTTAATACCTTTGTGTTATTAGAAACGTATAAAGTCACAATATTGTCCTCACACTTTTGATATTAATGACATGCTAGGCAATATTGTTGTTCTTTGGTTGTATTAACATGCTATTCAACTTTTTTTTTATCTTTTTTGTGACATTACCATGTTACTTTACACATCATATTACCACCACAATGTACTAGTTAATCATACGATTCTATAACCAATGAAATACAACACCAAAATTATTTATATAGTTTATGGAAAAAAAACTATAACCAACACAATCGCAAAGTTGCAACATTGCTTGTAATTTATACGCAGGAAGAACTTTTGGTTTCAACAATACTTAAATACTCAACTGCCTACTCCTACCTATCTTTCTAAGTTTGTTTACACTAAATTACATTTGATCTCTTCATTTTGTAAAGAAACTGATTAAAACTCATAATTTCGTAAAAGACCTTCATGTTGTAGAGGCCCTATGGTTAGAATAGTACTGTTATTAGTTGAAACTTGCTGTTGAGGTTGTGAGGATGTGGCGCTGCTATTCCCACCTGTGACGATCTTTTGACACGTGTCAAGTAGGGAGTGCCTGCAAGTTGGACACGATGAATGTGAACTCAGCCATTTATCAATACAACGCACATGAAACCCGTGGTTGCACTTTGGCAATATTTTGACTCGTTCTCCTGTTGAAAAATCACCCAAGCATATCACGCATGCCTTGTCCAATCCTGGTAGCTTCAGTCCTTCCCAATAGCTGACTGTTGGGAAAGTCTTTAAGGCTTTTTTCTTGATTCCAGTGTTGGCTAACCTTGCTGAGGTACTTTCCTGGCTACTGCTGCTTTCTGAACCAACGAAGCGTGTGCATTTCAATACACACCTGATGATGGAGTTCAAGCCTAGTGAACAAATTAGAGCGCATAGAAGCACCGACAACACCATCACCACATTTGCATCAAAGTTGCTATGTTGTGTATGTGGGGTTGATGGTGGTGGAGCAGCTGGTTGTTGGTTTGAATAAGTGTGAAGTAGGAGTTTTCTTGAATTAAAATGCCCGAATGCATGTTGAAAGAGCTCAGTAGATAGCCTTGACATGTTTAGATGGTTGAGTATGATGAATGGTTTGTTTAGATGGGAATTCAATGGAAGAAAAAAGTACATGTATATATAGAGGGGTGATTAGAGTAGCGTCCCACTTTGTGTAATTTGATTAAAGGAGGATATTCGTAGAGGATTTGAGCCACCATGTGGGATTTTATCTCTTTGTTTTTCTAATATATTTGATCTCAACCATTTGGATCTTCCACTAAGAGATGTGTGTTTGTTTAATAATGGTATTCCTATTAAAATGGGTCCGGCGCACTTTCTCCAGGTCAAATAATGCCATGCGTGGCGCTTTTCTCTTTCACTAACTATTTCTTCTTTTTTGCTATTGAAGGATGGTTAACGCTTTCGGTAACGATTGGGTAATTAACCACTAGCTTTTCTTTTTCTGCTCATGTTTAATGAAACGTTTTTAATTGGATAATTGCTATACAAGAAAACTACTCGTTAGTAACCAGTTTTTTTATTGACTATCTAAAATCTAGTTACTACCACCATCCTTTAGTTACTATATTGAGTTGTCTTTTTGTAGGTGTACAAATTCACTAAGTCGAAAGATTCAGATATATCTTTTGATGGTTGAGGGGAATCGGCCTTCCGATTCAAGTCTATTGAGGCAGAGCTCTTCCAACATATTTTGGATCTAAGGCTAATGAAAAAAATAAAATACACAAATATTATCAAGTTTTTTATTACATTATAAAGATCGAACCCTATACATACCGACAATTCTAGACATTGTACCGATGACATCACAACAAGAAATGGCACCTTGGAGACGACAAAATGCGTCGCAAACAGTCAAGCAAGTCGCCGCTAAAGATACTAGCGACGACATGTCATTCCAATTAGGTCGCTACAAATACCTCGTAGCTAATGCTCAAAAGTCGTTCCTAAAGGCATTGTCCCTAATACATGTCGTCGCTAATATCAGTTGTCGTCCCTAAAGGTGGTGTCCCTAATAATATTTCAGCAACCGGTCAGTATTATTCCGGCAAAATATTCCGATGGGATGTGTCGTCACTAATGTTGTAGATCTTCCCTAAAGGTGCCGCCACTAATGCTTTTTTTTAGATAAAATTTATATTTTATATTAGTTTATATTATAAAAATACAGAATTTATAAAATTATAAAACTTATAATTTAAAATTTTGCATTACATAAAACATCAAATAACATAGAAAAAGTATATCACATTAACATCATCTAAATCCATAATAACATCATCCATATCGTAAATCAATATATATTAATCGTTGTCCCCATCATCGTTTTGCTCGTCGTTGTTGGTCGCATTGTCAACTTGCTTGCTAAATGAGCGGTTAATATCTCCAAGTGTAGTCACAAACGTCGGGTTTTGGAGAAAAGCATTAACATCCACATCCTACAAAGTAAGAATATAAGTTAAAATATATCATACTATAAGAACAAATTATCATTACTTAACAGTTAAGTCACAAACACATGAAGTCCTTAACAATTTAACAAACTACTAAATTCATAACAATTTAACAAACTAACAAGCTACCAAACTATCAAACAACAAAATTCACTACAAATTAATAAGTACCTGTGTTGGTTGCGGTGTTTGTGACTGTGAATGACATTGGGTGGGAGCACTTCTACCCGCTATGGAAGGCTTAGGCCCGATGCCTCTCACATGTCCCCTTCGAGCACCTAACACCTCCTCAAATAAGGCTATCCAATCAATGGAGTTCAGATCACCACCGAAGTCGATTATGTGCTGAGTTTTCAAAGCAACCTCAGCAACTAAAGCATTCTGCATTTCACGAAGATTGTCAATATACTTCAAAACAAACACACAAAAAAAATATATATTCTACTTCATTTTTAAGTAATAATAAGTTACATATTGTTCTTCAACTAACAGGTCAATGAATTCCCCTTGTTTATTAACATGTGCACGTGAAATACTTCAAGTTTATTTAAATTCTGTTTAACATTAAAAAAATATGTTATACTAAAATAAACATTACAGAATATGTTATAATTAAATAAGAGAAATTATATATCCTTCTACCTTTTAATCCTACAAATCTTCCTACCCATTTAATTGATGACATGTGTCATATTAGTATCCTAAAATATCATTAAATCTCATTAAATGAATATTAAATGTTACACATGTCGTCATTTCATTTGGTAGGAAGATATGTAGGATTAAAAGGTTGGAAGATATTTAATTTCTCATTAAATAAACATTAATATAACTTACATTTTTGAAAGAAGCACTACCGTAGTTGCATGTCCCTCCACGATTCTAAACTACTTGCTTCTTCCGACATTCTTTGTTTACACTGGATCATTTACAATGTGTATCAATTATGATGTGGTCAATAGTAGCACTCCAACACGCTGAATCCATACCCACGGGGGAGTCGAGCCCTTGCTGCCTCCGTACCCTCTAGTATATCTAAAAATTTACCTTTTGCAATATTTTTGTGGCCTCTATATCGCTGACATATATGATGGTTCAGTGATGCCCATAAAATTCTAGCATCGGGATCATTTCAAATGGCATGAAAATCAAAATATGTCTACAAAAAATAGAGAATTTAAAAATAAATCAAAAATAAACATGTTAAATATAACTTTATAAATCATTTACCGAGAGATATATAAATATTCCATTTCGATCGGCTTCAGGAACTTCTTTCCAGGTGTTCCTTTCCAGGTGTTCTTATCCAAAGCTATGTCGCGCCAGATATAACTTCCAACCTCCCGAATGAAGCATTCATATACATCCCCAATCGGCACAAAAGTATTCATGTCAAATATTATTTTAGAGGTTGTCTGCCGTTTGCTTTGTCACACCCCCAAACCAAGGATGGCGGAAACGTCCGGGGGTGGAGGACTTCATGTAGAGTATCACAACAATGAGTATAATAGTGCTCAAAGTAAATACAACCAACACAAATATAATTGAAAATGTTACATCAAAGCACATGTTTGCATGATTCACATCAATTACATTATGATACAAAATGAACTGTTTGACGATTTATCGTCCCATCCTCAAAACGTTGTTGATTTCCTGTTTTCACTGGATTCCTGAGAATAAAAGTAGTTTTGAAAAGTGTCAACACAAAGGTTGGTGAGCTCATAAGAGATTTCGTTAGAAAAGTAAACTGTTTTCCTTGTAAAAGCGTTAGAATATGTATTCAGAAAATCCGATATTTTCTATAAAATCTGTGTAATGTAGTCTTATGACTGAAGACCAAAATGTATAAGTAACCTTTCTTACTAATAGAAAATGTTATGTGTTTAAATGGACATGGACGCGTTTGAATTAAATAAAATTTCCGTATGTTCTCATGTTTGTTAATACTTTATATATATGTAGTCCTAAAATCCGAGGACCGGGAAATAACAAGTATTGACCCTACTTAAAGGTATAAATGTGGTTTCAAATGATGTGTAGTCATAACTACCAAAACCAAAAGTGTACAGTAATATCTGTACTCATAGAGATAAAAAGTGATTTTAAATCGACATAAAACTCATTTAGGTTTTAAAAATAAAATCCCGTAAACTTAGGGATTGTTATATCCCTATGTGAGTCACTATAATCATACTATGACTATGTGAACCTGCCACGACGTTCTCAGGCGTCGCGAAAACTGAAATGACATTTGTCACCCGTAGACCTGCAAGTCCCACTGTAGCTAGCAGCAAGGTGTGGGGTGTCAAACCCAATATAGATCTATATACAAGTATCACGTTCTCCCTCAAGGAGATTCTGATTATAACTACCAGGAATTATATCCCGCACTCGGACGTACGAGGAGAGAGAGAGAGAGAGTCTCACAATATAGGTTAACAAGTTTACGTGAAATGTGTGTGAATATAAATCTTTTCTGTACGAATGCACCCTTTCTGTACGAGTGTGTTGAGTGATGTATCATAAACTATACCTATTATAGTTTATCTAAAATGTATGTAATATGTATGAACTCTTTTATGGAAATGTATTAGTGTTATGAATTTATCAAACTATACTTTTTATAGTTTAATATACGTGTTCTAAAATGAATGAATAATATTTATTATGAATGACTTAGTTTCAGTTCATGATGATAAACTAACAAAGAAATACATTCAATAATTAGAACTTATGATTATACACTTTGCTCAACATAATACAAAGTGTTACTATATTTACATGCTGTTGGCTAACTTTAGCCATTCTGCCATGTTTTGGAAAAATCATAGAAAAATCATACGAAGTCGAAAACTAGATCCGTAAATTCTGAGAGTTCACAAAATGTGTCTAGTTAACTCATAATTTTTATCACAATTTTTAACGACCTCCAACTTGGGTGAATAAGTCCAAAATCACAGACTGGTCCGGATTGTTGTTTGAAATGATAGTCGGTTTTGTAAAAATCACCATAAATTGTAGAAACATCGTATGGAGATGTGCAAGTATTCATTTTAAAGCTAAAAACTTGAACTATTTGCACCTTATACAGTTTTGAAAACAAAAATGCTTAAGATGCCCAAAACAGTCCGTGAATGGAGTTGAACTTTTCTGATGAAGGCTGTTAGAAAAATTTAGTTATGTTCTTGGTGTTTTAACTTGTATTCCCCCCTTAAAAACTTGAGAAAACATGAAAATGTAGGGGTATGATGTCACACCCCCAAACCAAGGATGGCGGAAACGTCTGGGGGTGGAGGACTTCATGTACAGTATCACAACAACATGTATAATAGTGTTCAAAGTAAAAACAACCACCATATATATAATTGCAAAAGTTACACCAAAGTATATGTTTACATGTTTCAAAAACAATTACATTATGATGACAAAATAAATTTGTTGACGGTTTAACGTCCCATCCTCAAAGCGATGAAGTTTTCCTGTTTCACTGATTTCCTGAGAATACAAGTAGTTTTAAAAAGTGTCAACACAAAGGTTGGTGAGTTCATAAGAGTTTTGTTTGAAGTAGAAACCGTTTTTCCTTGTAAGATCGATATAGTTTGATTTCCAGAAAATCCAATATTTTCTTAGTTAAGTGTGCATAGAAATATTCCTATATGATGCATTAATGAACCCTAGAATGACCCGTAGAGTTCCTCTATAATCATTCAGTGTATATAAGTTATATAAGATTTAAATTAAATAAAACGTTGAATATAGTGGGTCTGCCCTAGGTCCACAACCCAACGAGGAACAGGAGATGAGGCGGGCACCACCAATTCTAGGCCAACCAAGACTAAATTCTTATATGACTCAAACATATACTCTCAGCGACTATAGTTGAAGTCTAACAATTCTAGAGGAAGTATAGTTTTAATATCATAATAACTTTGTATAGAGACCCGGCACTTTGTATTTGTACCCATAGAGATAAAAAGGTGATTTTAAATCGACGTAAAACTCATTTAGGTTTTAAAAATAAAATCCCGTAAACTTATGGATTGTTATATCCCTATGTGAGTCGTTATAATCATACTATGACTATGTGAACCTGCCACGACGTTCTCAGTGTCGCGAAAAATGAAATGACATTTGTCACCCGTAGACCTGCAGGTCCAACTGTAGCTAGCAGCAAGGTGTGGGGTGTCAATCCCAATATAGATCTATATACAAGTATCACGTTCTCCCTCAAGGAGATTCTGATTATAACTACCAGGAATTATATCCCGCACTCGGACGTACGGGGAGAGAGAGAGAGAGAGAGAGTCTCACAATATAGGGTAACAAGTTTACGTGAAATGTGTGTGAATATAAATATTTCTTGTATGAATATACCCTTCTTGTACGAGTGCGTAGAGTGATGTATCATAAACTATACCTATTATAGTTTATCTAAAATGTATATAATATGTATGAACCCTTTTATGGAAATGTATTAGTGTTATAAATATATTCAAACTATACTTTTTATAGTTAAATAATACGTGTTCCAAAATGAATGAATAATATTTAATATGAATGTCTTAGTTTCGGTTCATAATGATAAACTAATAAGGAAACACATTCAAATATTAGAACTTATGATTATACACTTTGCTCAACATAATACAAAGTGTTATGATATTTACATGCTGTTGGCTAACTTTAGCCATTCTGCCCTGTTTTTGGAAAAATCATAGAAAAATAATACGAAGTCGAAAACTAGATCCGTAAATTCTGACAGTTCACAAAAAGTGTCTAGTCTACTCATAATTTTTATCACGATTTTTAATGACCTCCAACTTGGGTGAAAAAGTCCAAAATCACAGACTGGTCCGGATTGTTGTTTGAAATGATAGGCAGTTTTGTAAAAATCACCATAAATTGTAGAAAAATCGTATGGAGATGTTCAAGTAGCCATTTTAAAGCTAAAAACTTGAACTATTTTCACCTTGTACAGTTTTGAAAACAAAAATGTTTAAGATGCCCAAAACAGTCCGTGAATGGAGTTGAACTTTTCTGATGAAGGCTGTTAGAAAATTTTAGTTATGTTCTTAGTGTTTTAACTTGTATTCCCCCCCTGAAAACTTGAGAAAACATGAAAATGTAGGGTTATGAACTCACCTTGAGTGATTTCAGTAGATAAGTGTTGAAGAAGAGAAGTTTTCAACCCAAGAACACTTGAAGAATCACTTGAAGATTCGAAGCTCTAACGCTAATATGATGGAGTTTGTGTAAGATATTCATGATTTGAGTAGAATGAAGTGAAATAATCATAAGGAGGATGAATTATACTTAGTAAGAGTGGAAGAACACGTGAAGATCAGCCTTGAATCTCGAATTTGGAGTTGGAAAAGTTTGAGAGA